CACCATGTCCCTTGTATTCCCCATCCTTGTAAAAAACAGTGGATGCGATGCACTATATTTTTCCAAGGATGATACATTCTCGTGAGGCTTTTACCTGAACCACGGTTCTACTCAGAAAAAAGTTAATCTTTTATTATTATTTGATTCTAGGTGTCTCTTGTTCAGAAATCACTCACAGTCGAGCAAGCTGAGAAGACTGCCATTATTTAATGTCCGAACTCTAAACAGACCCAGGGATGATCATGTAGTTAATGATGGTCAGAGGTTAACGACGGGTCAATGAAGGGCTCTGACTAATGAATGGAAAAGGACTACAGAACTGCAAAGTCACACAGTGCACTGGCTGGCAAAAACTCCGTAAACCCTTGTAAGCCCAAGCCTACAGCCACCTTTTTGCCATCCTGGCAAATCCATGCAGCACACCAGGAGTGATTCCCAAATCACTCCTGGCAGAACTATGCACAGCCCCAGCTCCCACCACGAGAACACAGGCTGACCGTGTACCTCACCTCTTGTGCCCAGCTGCTGTCTGCTCCACAAGATGTCTCAGCAGTACTTAAGTAAGTGATGGGCAATCCTATCACATCCTTCCTGAAAAATAGTTCTCCATCTCCTAGAGATTTAACAGCAGTACAGGAGTGTCAGTGCTATAAAATACAAATGAAGTAACATAATACAAATAAAAGTTACACCATTGTCCTCATCATCATTGTTATTATATTTACTCTTGAATAGGAAAAGGAACTGAAGGAAAAATAGGTTCAATTAGAAAATGAGGAGAAGGAAGGAAACTGTACTCCACATAGAGAAGAATACAAACAGCAGAGTCTCTGGCATGCCAATATGCACACCTTGAGGACCAGTGGCAATCAGTACTGTCTCTCTTGATTAACAACCAGCAATAATTAGACCATTTACTAGACCTTAAGTCAGATCATGGAGTATTTTACATAGTCCACCTCTGGAAGAAAACAAGAGAACAGGAAAGCAGTTGTTTATTTGTTGCAGTGAAGTATCCGTAACAAAGCATGGAGATATCTTTCTGATTTTCCAACTGCTCGGGCTTCTCATCAGTACACCAGGAAGGAGGAAGCAGACCAGGGAGCTGAACGTCTAAATTGACAGAAGGTACACAGCTCTGCACAGACCACTTGTGAGACAAAAGTTAGAAGAAGCACGCTTGCAGGTCTGGATTCTATCTGCACACCATTTGTAACCTCAGAAACATGGAAGGCCTTCTTGCTATGCAGACTGAATCAGGCTGTGTTAATGTTTTATTTCACAACTAGAACGGAGGCATGGCAGAGAGACACTTCAGCTGACTTCATGTTCAGGACAGCTTGTTCAGCACGTTATTTGAAATGTCAGTCTTTTGGGGGAGGTTTCCATGCCAGCAGTTTTCTTCAGAAGCTACAAAAGTGGGCAAGCGCACACCCAACTCTTAGTCAACCTTCAGCCTTATTAACACACAGCAAAACATTATGCATACACACAAGTAAGCAGAGCACACAGATGGGAAACAGCAAGAAGGACTTGTTTAAAAGAGGATTAAAAAAAAAAAAAAAGAGTTGCCATGCTTCTTTGAAGCACACCACACCTAGGAGACTAAACAGCAGTGTTACAGCTCACCTTATTTATCCAAGGCAGGGAGCTGACCTTTCCAGGCTCATTTGTTTCAGCAAACTTTGCTCATGCTACTCATGACTGCTCATATTCGTAAGATTGGGACATCAAATAATTGCTGATAATGTAAAAAATGCGTGATAGGAGGAACAATGCTGCTTCCTATTAGAATTTAATTTGTACTCTGAGAAATTGCTTCAATTACTTTGGTCATTTTCCTATCAAAGGTACATTTTAAAATTCCCCACTGCACTTCCACAGATACGAAGCCTTTCTGTGTCTTGGCAACAAAACTTAATGAATAGATTAAAGAGGGCAATATCGTTCAGTTAAGTAATACTTAATTATAAGAAATTATTTTGTTCCAGGTTTTTCAGTGCCCACCTGAGCATTGTCTCAGTTGCACAGAAAAATGCCACCCTGCAGGACAAGCAGGAGACCCAGACTGCTTCAGGGCTGGCATGGCTTCAGTCTTGGCACCTGACCCCAAAAGGGCACTGTGTCTGACCAATGAAAGGAGACAAGAAAATCCATTCACCTTTGTAAACATCACTGCACCACATGGTTAAATAGCAGAATATAAATTTAAAATAGCAATTAAGATGACGCTGAGCACCAAGAATCAACTTGAAACAAGCTCATTAATGGCCCTGTTGCTGGAAACGGTTGTTTAATGGTTCAGTAGTGAACAGACTGTACAGTCTGCAAAATCATAGAATCATAGAATGGCTTGGGTTGGAAGGGACTTCATGATGGTTCCTGATAATTTTTTAAAAATATATATTCATATTCTGATAATGGCTTGAACCAGAGAGTTCACATGAAGAAAACAGTTACAAAAACTCAAAAATGAGTTCTTTTTTATTCCCAGTTTGTATTGGTACAACTCTGAAGTCAGCTGTGTTCTAGAAAGGCATTAGGGCACTTAGGATTGATACTGGTATCCAGTACTGTACTTCAGCGGTGTGTGTGACCTGTTACTTTCTGAACCATCACCAGAACCACGTGAATCTCTGACTTTGTTTCCCCATGCATTGCAGTCACCCAGTACTCCTAGCAGACAGTTTCGTTTTCTATGAGACAAGATGCAGCTGCAGGAGAGACATCACACTTAAGCAAGCATGTCTCCTCATATGCAGTGAAGACACTGTGTATATGTGAGTGATGCATGCTGGTCTTGCTTCTGTTAGTAAGGTAACACTGGCCACTGGCCTCACCATTCCTAATACAACAAATCTTGGATAGGTCACCTTCCTTCTTTCCTTCCTTTCCTTTTCTTCCTTCTTTCCACTCACCATCCGTCTGTCTATCCATCATCCATCCATTATCCATCCGTCCAACCATTATCCATCCATCCATCCATCCATCCATCCATCCATCCATCCATCCATCCATTATTCATTCATCCACTATCCATTCATCCTATGTGGTCTTCTCATTTGGCCTAGAGACAGCTATCTCTAAAAATGAACCAAAACAGCACAGATAGAGTATCTCATGCATTTCCTTCTTGTGTTCCTCTCTCAGGTCTCCTGCAGGGCGAGAAGTCCTGCTGGAGTCTGCTGGCCAGGCATATCCCACAGATCTCACCACATCCAGAGGACTGATGCTCTCTCCATAGCTCTGGCTTTTCATGACTGATGCCAACAAAGGGAGAAAAAAAACTGCCACCCGGCCATGAGGGGACACACCACATCTTCAATGAAGTTCTGCACTGGATGAGAATGGTTGCTTTCAGGGCAGTCCACACTGAGTCCAGCATAGTGAAATGCTGAGCCTGGCTGCAGTTCCCCACAGGTACTGCAGCCAGAGAAGTAACGATAATCAGAATAATGGGATACAAAATGTATATATTTTGACCTTCTTTCATATTTTTTTCTGTAATCATAGTGCATTCACAGACATAACCTAAAAACATATAATTTAAGGGAAGGGACCACTCCTCCACAGGGAAAGACTGAATGTTTTTTTTTTCTGTTCTGGAATAGCTATTTTTAGTGAAAGAAGGCTATTTATGTAGCGTGAAAGCTAAGTACTCAAGAGGTCTTTTGGGAATATATTCATAACAGACCTTTGGAGATCACTAACGGTGTAAAGGTTCCATGCATGAAAAACTTCTCATGAAATGAGAAGGAAGTCACAGAGATGCCATCCCTGCAGCCCAGCCCTTCCTTTGCCGAGATGTGGGTCAGGCAGCTCCTGTTGTGCCTGCCGAGCTGTGACCCAGGGCTCCACTGCTGGGCGCTCAGGGTGCACAGGCTGCCCACTCACACACAGTGCTTGGCTGATGTGCTCCTCTGCTCCACCCCGTCTTTCAGAACCTGAAGGAGTGATTTCTATCACTGTGATGCCTTTCATTTTCAGATCATAGCAGGTGAAGAGTTTTCAGATCACAGAATCACAGAATAGCTTGGGACCTCAAGGATCATCAAGTCCCAACCCCCCTGGCATAAGCAGAGCTGCCATCTCTAGGTGCCTCGTGTTGTAAAGGTTATGGGAGACCGGCAGCGTTATGGAGAAAATGCTGAACACGAAGAGATGGGCCTGCGTGTCCAGCATGGCACAGAGACAGGCCCTCAAAGCAAGGGATGGTCGCCAGCCACAGGATCCCCACGTTTGGAGGAACAGCAGGGGCAGACCTCCGGGAACAAGGGCCTCCTTCCAGCGTCGGAGCCGAGCTCGCTCACAATATCCCGATTCGTCTTCCTTCACCTCGGAGGTCGCTCCACCGAGCGATCGAAGGCGCCGCGACGGCCACGAGTTCCGACCCTCCCGAGAGGCACCCCGGGGCGGTGCGGAGTCGCGGGCCGGGCAGGGGGCGGGAGCGGCGGCGCCTGCGCGCCCCCCGCCCGCCGAGGGGCCGCGCCGGGCGCTGGGGCGGGGTCTGCGGGCGCCGACGGGGCGGGCGGCGGAGGGCGCCACGTCGGCAGCGGAGGACGGCGCGGGAGTAAAGTCTCCGCCGGGCCGGGTCGCGCCGCGCTCGCTGCGACGCGCGGTGAGTGGGTGCCGAGCGGGGAGCCGCCGTTCGCCGTTATCCCGGGGGCGGGAGGGCGATCGCCCGTCCGGCGCTTCGCCGCCCTCCCGCTGCCGCTCGGGGACGGGGAGCGGGCGGGGGGCCTCGGCCGCGGCCGAGCGGGGCCACCGGTCCGCGGAGGGCGCAGCCTTTGTGTTTCCTGCCGGGGCCCCGCGCCGTGAGGACGGGAGGGGGGAAGGAGGGCGGCCGCGGCGCTGCGCCGCGGCCTCGGTGCCACGTCAGTGCCGCCGCCCGGCGCCGGCCCGCGGGGCTCGAGGTACCGGCGGGACGCGGCGAGGCGGCCGCTTCCTGCGCGGCGCCTGGGGCCGCCGCTCCGCCCGAGCCCCGCGGCGGCGGGAGGAGCGCTTCGCTCTGCTCTCCCGAAACTTCTCCGTGTTGGGGACGCGCTGCTCGGCCTCCCGTGCTGTCCGTTTCCTTACGCTGCTCCGCGTCGGGATGTTTCCCGCGTAACTTTCTCTCTGTTTTCACCACGTTCGTGAAGCTGAACTGCACGGAGAGGAGCCCGGAAGCGCTTCGCTTTGTCTGTATGAGCGATGTGGGGACCCAGCCTGGTCGGGCACCGAGCGGAGACGTGGTTCCCTGCGGAAGCTGAAGGCAGAAGGGAGGCGGCCTGCTCCGCGCGGCTGTGGGCAGAGTGCTTCTGTGTAACCGGCAGGGCATGTAACGATAGCTGAGCCCTGGGCCATTCTCGGCACCCTCCATGCTCTGGGCTGAGCTGGGATGGTCGGTTTGCTCACAGTTCTGCCCGAGGAGTGGTTCCAGCGCTGGAGCAGCGCGGTGCTGCCAAGCGAAATTGGCCTCATCCTTGGGTCGTTGTGCTGCTGCCCACAGACATCTGAGCGGTGGCACTGAGAGAAGCCAGCCCCTGCTGGCGCCTGCTGGGCTGGGTTTGCTGAGCTCAGACAGTGGAGCTGTTTGACTGTGAAGCCTGGGATACACCGTGAGCATTGCGTGAAGTCAGGGAGGTGGCACACGTGTCCACGTGCTGCTTGGCGGAAGGCTGATGGCCATCAGTGCCGGCTGCTGTCCAGGATCTCCATCCATGCTCACGAAGGAGAGGTTGTGCCCTCAGTGTTTCAGAGAGTTGAATCTCATAACGGCCAGGCTCGGAGGCTGTGCTGAGTGCCTCTTCCCACTGTGGCAGGAATACAGTGGTAGCCCTGTTCTGTACGATGTCATTAATGCAGCACTTCTCTTTCTAGGTGGATGTGGAACATCTCTGAGGAAACAGCTGACCTGACGCCTCTTTCACAAAGGAGTATCTTTGGTGAGAAATTCTTGTGTTTAATGGCTTGGATGTGGATGTATCCATGGCTGGACTGGGACCTCCAGCACTTCCTGGAGCCTTCATTCAGGGTCCTATAGTAGCATTAGGTCTTGACCGTAAAACCACTTCTGAGCCACTTCTTTCCTTACAACTGTGTAAATAATTGACGCTTCTGGATATTTGCATTCTGACAGTTTGGAAGAATGTGCTTTCTTCTTTAAAACCAACTGAGAAAGTGGGTTCCTTTTTTTTGGGGGGGAGGCCTTCATGAGCACAGAGAGGGGAAAAAAGCATCCAGTCACTTGTGTTCTTGTTCAGAATTTCCCATGAGGTCCACACTTATTTCTACTTCTTTACATAAGAACACACGAAGCTTATGCGCTCATCTGCACAGATGAGAGAAGAAACTGGGAAGTATCACTCGTGCCCCAGATACTTTGTTCACAGCTGTCCCTCTGTACCAGGGCTCAAGATCCCATATCCCATCTGTTTGCTTCTGTGGGGTCAATTAATGTGTGTGTGTTAAGGGAAGCAGGGCTCTTCCACTAGAGACTCAAGATACTGAGTTCAGCATCATAGGATGAACATGCCAAGGAGAGATGTTTGCTTCCTTTCTCCTCCAGCCTCCCTTTTTTCATCTTTTTTTTCTTTCCAGCCTTAGCACACTTTGAGTAAGATTCTACAAAATATGTCAGAAAAGTTCCCAAGTTGTGATCAATCTTTGTCTAGTTGCATGTGCTTGCAATGCTGAGAATAATTCTGCTGTTGCATTCTGCGTGTCTGCAGATTCAGAGTACGGGGGACTTGAACTTGGATGTTTCCAAGATGCTTTAATCAATGCTGTGTCCGAATGATACAGTTCTCCAGGCAGAGCGTTATCCTTGCACCTCCAGCTGCCTTAGGTGTAGGATGAGAGTTAACAATTCCATCATGTCTCAGGAGTTTTGCTTTCTCTTCTTTTGCAGGCACGTACCTTTAGTTGGGAGAGTAAAGAGGAGCCTCGCTTAGGAAACACCGCAGTCGGGTAACCGTGGGCTCCCTTCCAAGGTGGGACGTAAGCGCTTGGATCTCATCACACCAAGGAGACACTGAATTGTAGGTGAGTGCTTTCACTGTGATGGTATTATGTTAAAGATAGAAGAGCAGAACCCGTTTGCCAACTCCAGTTTTTAAAGAAAAATGGTATTCATCCCCTTCTTCTTGGACTGGATGAAGTCATTGCCTCTGAGAATTGTTCCAGACCTTTGACCTCCAGTCAATTAAATGCTCAGCTTAAGTCTCTGGAGAGGAGCCAGATTTGAGGTGTGCTTCTGTGCTTCCTGCTCACCAGATGAGCTATGCTCTGTTCAGCATGCAGGATTTGTGACAGTTTTTCAGAGATTCTAAAGTCTCCTGTCACATTAAACAGGAAAGAAAGCAGCGTGAGTCAAGCTGTCATCAAGATATCTAAAACATTTCAGTCCTTTGCTGGAGATAGATCTTGATTCTTTGTGTCTCTGAAAAGGTGCAGAAAAACAAAAAGGCTTGAATTGTACTGTGGGAGCTCTCTTCTGTGGCAAGAGTTGTTTTGTTTTCTGACACTGTGATCCAGTTTTCCCTTTTGCACTGTAGCATTGCTCAACTTTCTGATCCCAGGCCCCTCAAGGCTCCCTTCCCTCTAGAATGAGCTGAGTCCTATTAAGGGTGACTTGGTTTTCATTAGCTGCTTTTTACAGACCTAGAAAAGATTTTCTGGCTCTCTGCGGTCTGGTAACAGCAGGTTACCAGTGCCTGACCCATGTGAAGTAGGCCACTGCAGTCCATGGAGCTGTAGGAGAATGAGGCACTTCTGTGGCTTAGAAGGTGTCCTAATTGTGTTAGATTGTTGAAGGTAAGTGATGTATTGTGTTAAATTCTGCTCTTCATTTTAAAAAGTAGCTTATATTCAAGATTTCCATAACCTTGATCATCTGGGGAAGGTAGGGGGGGAAGGGAAAGCATCACTGCTTTTATGGAGTGCTGCAGGGTTTTGTTGTCTTTTTTTTTTTTTTTTTTTTGTCCCTAAACAAGAAACTCTACTGTGAAGCTCCCCTATCAATACATTGCTTCACTTGTTTCTTGGCTGGCAGCTATAAGTCAATCTGTCAGTGGCCTAACCTGGATTACAGACAGCTGTGAAGCAGTCTTTTTCCCCATGTTACCTGTTTGCCTACCTTACTCCAGTTCTTTCCACGGAATGGGGCTTGAATACTTGTATGATGGCTACCACAGTAGGTTCTCGATGCTTCTCTGGTGTTGTACATGCTGTCAGTGCTGTTGAATCCATTAACTTCTTAACAGTGGAAAATACTAAAGCAGCAAGGATCTTGTGATGCTTCCTAGCATTCTGCCATCTTCAAAACCAGTTTCCAACTGCTCTCTAAGCTTGCTTGTGGTCTCTGATGTTATTCTGTTTGTCATTATAGGGTTAAATTATTTTTCTGAGGCTTTTATGAAGAGTTGTTGGCGAAGTTCTTGGAAATTCAAGCAGTGAATTTCATCTGGGATTTTTTGGGAGCTGCAAGCAGGCTAGATATTGGGGATTCAAATACATCGTAGGGGTAGTTTTTTTAATCAATACAGATTATTCTCTGTACTAATTCATCTGTGTTTCCCTTGAGTCATTTTGAAAATTATTTTCACTGTTTTTCCTTTTGTTTGAGGTAAGGCTGGCTAGGTCTTCTTTTTAATAAGGAGACAAAAGCAAAGAAATGGCTTGGTGCTGAATCCCGTCCTTTCTCAGAACTCATTTCCCCTTCTGTTTCTTCCTAGGATCTGTCAGGCTCTTTTCAAACTCACTGAGTTGTGATTAAATAAAAGAACAAGGAATTACATAACTGCTTTTTTCCAAATTGCCTCTTAGCTTTCATGTATTTAGTCTCCCATATTGATGTGCTGTTAATCACTTTCCTGTTTCTCTGCTTCCACATCAAAGGACAGAAGGGCACCTGCTTGCCATTGCCATCAGATAAATCGTGCTGGCGGTAGATGCTGTTGCTCACTTTCTTGTTCTGCTCCTTGTATCAAGGTTCCCATGTTTCCTGAGCTGGGAGCCGATCCCCTCAGGGCTGATCGTGAAGACTTGTTAATGTTCAGTTTAGGCTTTCTGCTTATCCAAAGATCTATCACTCAGCATGTGGGTGCTGGCTCTTACTGCGCTGTTTTGACTTCACAGTTGCGCTGTGAGGGTTTGAGCTGCTCTTTTCCAGGCTGACTGTTCTCACCCTTGAGTTGTGTGTCTGCCTCATCATCCCTTCTTCAGATCCACCCTCCTGAGCTGCAGAAATGGGCATGGCAGGAGGGGCTGAAGTTCTTGTGCTGGTGGTCAGCGAGTGTGTGCAGGGAGGAGGAAAATATGGAAGTCCCCTGGCAAGGCAGGAAGGTAGAAGGATGTTGAGCTGCACTAGGAAGTAGCTTATGGTGGGTTTTGTGTGGTTTGGTTGTTTTGTTTTAATGTCACCTGAAGTGTTTTCTTTGGAATGCTTGTATATAGGTAAACTGCTCCAGTTGTGCTGCCGTCACCACATGGTGTGTGCAGTGCAGCTGCTGGGTATCTGGAATGTTTTCATTATGTTTCTTTCACCTTTTGTTGTTTTGTTTGTTTGTTTGTTTTTTTCTCCTGGCCTTTATTCAAATCCTCTTGCAAGCACTCCTTTCTTTAAACTGCTGCTTCCTAGGTCCTAATGGGTCTTACAGGCAGACTGCTATTGTTTTCCAGCATCCACCACTATGATTGCTAATCTCTTTCGTAGCACATAATCAGAAGCTGTTGTATGGTGGTGGCTGCTTGATGTGTGCTTGGTGTAGGGTGCTGCTCATGCTAAGGTGGCTGAACCTGCTGGAAGGCTCCTCCTCAAGTACTGAATCTGGTTGAAGAGTTCAACAGCACAGTCTCATAATAAAAAGTGCAGTAATCGGGCAGCAGATACCAGCTTATCTAGTAATGAGGAATAAATTCTTTGTCTGTGGAACTGATGCTGTATGACTTTTAGATTCACAAATTGTATTTTTGCCTTGGCAGAAGAGTTCTGTAGCATATGTGAACTTATGTTTTTTAGGCAACAATGAATCAAACAGACAAAAGTCATCAGGAAGTCCCGTCCTACCTCCATGATGAACCACCAGAGGGTATGTATTAGTTTTCATAATACCTGGTAAGTTTACAGAAATTCTCAAAAGGTCAGATCTATTTTAAAAATGGATCTGCGAGTTGAACTCCGTTAACTGTTGAATAATAGTAAACAACTCAGTCCTGGTTTGGGATAGGCCTGGGTTCTTGTTCAGTTCTGTGTTGTCCTGATACAAACCATTGAGTTCACTGTGGTTAATAACTCTGCTGGTAAGGTAAAGGAGATGGGCAGATACTGAAGGATGTAGTTTGCAGATCAGTTCCCAGAGGTCTGAATCAATCCATATATGAGGTGAAAAGAGCCCAGCTACCCTTTTGGATGCTTGCTGAGTTTGTAGTACTTGTGACTTTTAGACAGGATGGATCTGTCTCTATTTCTGGAGAAGTACTCCATGGACTCTTTGTCCATGATAAAAATCAGTTGTGGTTCTCACTGGTTGGCTTAATCTCATGGTTTCATGAAGATGACAAAAAGAATGCAGGGACATCTTGGTCCCACAAACCAAATGAATTTTAAATGTCTTGTTATATCTGCAGAGGAAATAAAAATTCTGAGTGAGCAGTATTCCCTTCTAGGCTGTGGACTGTGAGGATTTGGTTTGTGTAGCGTGGCTGGGGGCATACTGGATCCAAAACCACTCTCAACACAGAGGTCTTCTATGTTTCGTCTTCTCTCACCTTAATACCAAACATATGTAGAGGTCAGCAAGCCCTGATTGCTCTGTTTCATTATTCTTTGGTTTATAATGACACTTAAAAGCTATAGTTGTTTGCTGGTTATTTTTTTCTCAGCTTTTACTTATTGTGTAACTGATCAATTTACTTCACTTGAACAGCAGTATTATCCGCAGCTGAAGCAGAAGAGGTTCAAGTGGAGTAACTTGCTGTATTCTTAACAGAGGAAGTACAAGGACAAGAAGATGAGAAGAAAGTGCTAAATACATTTTGGCAGTGCAGTGGGGTTTTTAAGGATATTGTTAAGAGAAAATACTTGTTAAGCTCTCGTAGGGTTGTCAAGATCCTTGAAGCATTTCTGAGAACAGATGTCTGGTTGGAACCTGTGCCCTAATATATCTTATATTCAAGTCAAACTCCATAAGCTTATTTTCCTTTTTTTTTTTTTTTTTTTTTTTTCCTCCTTGAAGACTGAATTGTGTTTCACACATGCCAAACCACGTGTATAGAATTTGAATGATGGTCTGACTGGTAAATTATAATTGATTTTTTTTTGTTGAAGAAGACAGTATAAAAGTGGTTGGTTTGTTGTCTTCCTAGCATGTTGAATAGTTTCATAGAATCGTTTTGATTGGAAGGGACCCTTGAAAGCTATCTAGTCCAACTCCCCTGCAATGAACAGGGACACCTGCATCTAGGTCAGGGTGCTCAGAACTCCCCAACCTCACCTTGACTGTCTAGTTTGTCCAGATTCAGAGTGTTAACAGCAGAGCCTGGTCATTGCTTGCATATGCAAGGTTTTATTTAAAATTTGTGAGTAACAAGGACTTCTGCACAGTAGCTTAATACAAAAATAAGCATTTGAGCATGTACTTTAAGCAGGTGGAGGGGGCTGGTGTAGCTAGAGGGGGTGGAATGATACCCAACTAGTTATAATGGCAACATCATCCTTGAGGACTTGTTTTCCCTTTCGCTTTTGTTTCATGTACAGTCTTCAAGGTTTATGAGTTTAGTTAAAACCCTTGGAATACCCTTGAACATCCTTTTTTTAAAATGTTATACCAGGTCTCCATATGTGATATGCTTACAGCATCACAAAAAGGTGGATGTGGATGGGACGCTACCAGTTCAGTGTTGGCCAAAAGTACAGCTCTGTGAACTGGCTGCCAATGTGAATTTTTAGAGGAAAGGCTCAATTCTGAAACCAACTTGTTGGATATTATTTTTTAATTTTATTTTTTAAAGACAGAAGTAGTTCCAGTTTGCTCAAATGATGCTTGTCCAGCATGCTGCCTGGAGAATTTAAGGAAATGCACATGAGGAAGCTTTCTGCTCATACTTGCTGTGGGTAGTACTGTTCTTGTATTTTACCTTCTGCTTTGCAGGTGGCACCAAATTTGCAGGCTACATTCATTCAGACCTTTGTTCACTGTCTGACTGTGAGCAGGAAGGTGGTTTTGAGGTACTGTGGCAGTCAGCCCCTGTGCTGGGAATTCATGGCATTTTCTCCTTGAATCTAGGAACATGCTGTCTTTTCTTGTGCTGACTAGGATCGAGGAGACCAGGAATGCATATCCTAGAGTAGTAGTCAGCCAGCAATAAAAAAAACCTTTACTCTAAAGGCTTTTTGTATGTAAATATAAATTCTTGTCTCTGCATACTTTTGTTGTCAGTGTGTGCTGGAGATGTCCAGAGTGAAGGCTACAGGAGTTACTTGGTTTTAAGTAAAAATCTGTCAATTAATGTTTCTAGTTTCCACAATCCATTCTGTTATGTGTCAATTTCTTGACAGAGACCAATGTAAGATGGAATAGAAGCATTTGTAATATTTTTTTTTCTTGCTTCCTTGAGTTGCGCTATTGCTCTTGATGCCTTTTTGTGCTGAACTTGTCAGTTCTTGGATTTAGACAGCATCTGTTTGAATTACTCTGGGCTCACCCTTTAACTCTCAACTTTGTTTTAATTAATTCTGACTTCTGGTTCAGTTCTTGACATTACCATGAACTCTGGATGTACGTAGGAAGTCATTCAGTCATTCACTGTAGTTTTCCTCATGAGTGCTGGGAGAAATAGTCTCAGGTGTCAGCAGCTAAGAGAGCCTGAATAGTTACTGGAGAACAGAGACCTGATTTGCTGGTCCTCCTCTGGCACATCTCAGGAGATACTGACAGGTCTTTGAATTTAGATCTAATTTTTCTTTTCTCCAGCCTCTCTGTACATTCACTGTCTTCTTCTGAGTGTGTTCTTCCTGTCTCAGACTCCTTCACCTTTTTATTTAAGGTTACTCCTTCCCTAGCTCTGCCCATGCTCTCTTTTGGTTCCTCCTCTTGTTTTTTCGCTAAGAAAGGAAATCTATCCGCTGAATTCCATGTTCTACCTACTGTTATTTATAAATCATGCATGTGCATGCAGAACTCAACAAACAGTCGGACTCTTATCCTTATTTCTTGTGAACTGCCTATCTCTTGCCATGGTGCTATCTGAAACTGGTATTTGTGGTTAGTGAGGAATTGACAAGGCAAGAGCTGAGACACACCTATGCCACGCTGCTGCAAAGACCAGAGATTCCCCAAGGTTCACACCAAAAATGTATTGTAGGCCAACAATATTGTGTGCCAGTGTTTAGGTACAGTGAGTTATGTTCTGTGCTGAAATAAAATGTTAACATAGTATTGGAGCAAACCAAACTGCTCCAAACGTACTGTTCTTAGAAGATGAAATTGTCGTTGCGCAGTAGTGGCACATGGATTTGAATCTTAGGTCACCTCAGAGGTAAGATGTGCGTCTCCTCAGGATTTAAAAGCCTGCAGTTAGAAGTATAAAGTACTTAGTAAGCTTCGAAGGGGTTAAGTAGTGACTCCTGGGAGGCTTTCTATTACTTCAGTATTTTCCATTAGTTTGAAGCTGTGTAATTGTACCATAAACAGAAACTGTGAATTGACTTATCCAGCATGCAGCAAGGAACCATTATTCAAAACACAGCTTAAACATAACATAAAGGAGAACCAGACTTGCATGATCAACAATGGGCAGGAAAAAAAAGTGATTTGAGTTTTGTTTCTGTGTCATAGTGGGATTTCTGTTGGTTGGAGCCTGTCACTGCCTGCACAGCTGTTAATGCCTTTGGGGACTGCTTTTCATGAGCTAAACTAGAAGTTATTTTGTTGTCACCTTGCCCTGTGGAACTGGAGGGGAGCAATGTTGCCTTGCCATTAATGAGATCCAGAAGTGGACTTCTTGACTGCAAGGCTTGGCAGCATCAAAGAGGCTGGTGGTTGTACAGGCAGGGACTGATTTATTCACTTAAAACTATGTAGGAACTGCGTACCTGATGTTTCTAGGCCCTGTGTTGACTTGCATTTTAGAAAACAGCATTGAGGTGTATGTATCTCACTGCACTGCACTTTCCTGTTTGGAACAATGGTGTTGTATGAGCATCAAAGAAAAATAAACGGTAAAGTATGTATGTACTGCGTGCAGTGGTTGTTAGACTACAAAAGGAAATGCTTATGAATAACTCTTTTGAAAATGCTTTAATTGTGGCACCATGATTGACTTGATTGCCGTTTCCTCCCTCAGGTTCAATCAAAGACCACCCCCAGCAGCAGCCCGGCGTGCTCTCTCGTGTGACTGGTGGCATCTTCAGTGTGACAAAGGGAGCTGTGGGTGCCACGATCGGGGGTGTTGCTTGGATTGGAGGGAAGAGCTTGGAAATTACCAAAACAGCAGTCACATCAGTGCCTTCAATGGGAGTGGGGCTGGTCAAAGGAGGTGTTTCTGCTGTGGCTGGAGGTGTTACAGCAGTAGGATCTGCTGTTGCAAGCAAAGTGCCTTTAACAGGAAAAAAAAAGGACAAGTCTGACTAAAGCCAAAACAGAGACATACTTGATTTTCTAGAATATTACCTTGGTGGCATTAAAATCTTCTAAGATTTGGACCATGAGAAGCCATGTGTCTTAGACACTGTCTTCTGAAGAGAAAGCTGATTTCATCCAGAAAGGACAGAAGAAGCTTGGCTAGCACAGCATATGAAGATTTGTTACGGCCTAGTTTTCAAGCTTTGTACCTGGTGGAATGTTACACTTGATAACTATAGGAGCGAGTGTGTGTGTCTGAAGGGGTAATGCATACTGAATAAGTCTTCTGCAGTTTTGGACTGAAATGTGAACTTAGAAACTTAAGTTGATAATCTGCCGTGCCATCAGTTTGATGAGGTGCCACTTACTGTCCTCAGTGGCTTCCGCACCCTCCTGCTAAGGATCCTTGAGCTGTGTAATGGCACCATGGGATGTGCCTCAATAGTTAGTTAGGAAACAGTACTTGCAGACAGCCTGACAGTTTTCAATGACTGCATTCTGCCATTGCAGACTGGAAGCAAACAGATTGGAAATGAGAGGGAGATGGGAGGTGAGAAAGTTTGACAGCGTGGTGCAAGGGATAATGACAGTTAACTTAATGCCTTACTAGAAAAGAATCTTGCTTTATTAGGTGAAGCTTTGTAAAGAGCTCTCCTGTTGTTTCTGTGCAGTTCATTGAACAAGCTTCAGAGACTCTGTGACTCACATACCTGAAACTTGCTCAGTTTTTAGTGAATACAAAACTGCTAAATCTCAGGTGTATTTAATGATAGGCATCTGTCTCCTGCAAGTGGAGACTCGCTTTGATCAGCTTCTGAGAGACACCAGAAAATAATGATGGCTTAATGGAAGTGAGCAAGTGGTTTTGGTCATCTAACACAGCTATGTAACTTGAAAAATTGCTTTGTGTAGCTGGAAAACACTGAAGAACCAGTACAGCTGTTGTCTCAACTCCATGATGTGCCAGGTTAGCTTCTTGCTCTGTTCAAACGCAATAATTTTTTCACTACATCTTTATCTCATGCTTAGCATTTTGAGTAAAATGCAGTACTTTTATTTAAACCAAAAATGGCATCTGAGCTCCCTTTTAAAAAAAAAAAAAAAAAATCATCTGAGTAAGCTGTTTACTGACAAATGCCAAACTTTGACACTCCTCATATGGGAACATCTGTAGGTCCTCCGCAGTGTATGAGGCAAATTGCACTCCAAGGACACAGCTTGAGGTTGCCTTAAAGTAGAAGCTGCTGGTGATCTTTTTTTTGTATGTGTGCTGACTTTGCAAATAAGAAGGCTGTGAACGTTGTATATGCAGTATTTTCTAAAAAGTTGTGTTCCTTCCAAAAACTTCTAAGCTTATAAGCTTACTTTTCAGGTAGCTGTGGTTGTTCAAGGGTATATAGAAACTTTTTAGAAATTAAAGAAAACAAAAAAGTATATTACGTGTCTAAAACTTGCTCCTGTATTCATGGATGTTCAATGTAAACTGTGCACATGATGGTAGAGTGGTAACCCTGTCTTTCTGAGCCATTGGTACTTCAGCTGCAGTCTGGAACAGCTGTACAGGCGATCAGTAATGATTATGTATTGCTAGGTTCTCTGACTGGGGCAGTGGGGAGAGCAAAACCCTGCAGGTGGACCTCTGCTCCTTTTCTCAGTTGCACCAGTTGCTTATCTCTGAACTGCTGGAAGTGTGTCATGAGGTAAGGTCAAGCAATAAATGCAGTCCTTAACTATTTTTATAGTCAGAAGGTGACGGAATGCCGCGTGGTTTGCAGATCCCAGATAGCTGCAGGAATGAGCACCTCAGACACCAGCAGCAGTGGAGCTGCTGCGAATTATTGAGCCTGGTGTAGTTTCCAGTGTACCCCAGGGCACTACCAGTGAGCACTGCACGCCAGCTGTTTGGGAGCATAGCAAGATTTGTAACACTCAACCCAACCCTTCACTGTTTTCTGAACACTCAAACATTGAACTTGTCTTACCCCTTTTTTTTTTTATGGCATTCTTTAATTTTTATGCTATGAAACTTGCTGCAGAACAAGCGTGTTAGGAGAGATGCAATGTTAGAACTGTAAAAGGTTGCCAGCGCTTTGGTATGTTTTGTTCTTCGCATGTCCTGTAGTTATTACTTCTGAATCTTGTAACTGAAATGTTTTACCATGGCGTATGGTTTTAATCTTTGAGAAAAGCTTTTTCCTGTATTCTGCATATTTTTCATTCACTTAAGAAGGTCCCTTCTTTAAGAACTTGTTCTGACTGTCCTGACTCTTGTGAAACATTAAATTGTTGCTGTTTCAGACTTACTGAAAGTTTCCTTAGTTACTTTGTGGAGAAAGGCAGATCAGTAAATGCTTTTGTCTGAATCTTCATACTGCACTGGTGGCCCAGGCAATCTGCACCTAAAGAGCACCAAGCTGCTGTTAACAAAACCCACGCTTACTGTGGTGTTGGCTGTGCACAGACGTAATGCAACATCATCTTCACTGTTTGGTTTTTGTTTGGTTTTTCTCCTGGGAACTGAAGATTGGCGATACCCACTTTTAAGATTGTAGGAAATTGAATAGAATATCAAATTTTTTTTAACTCTCGCTTTCCCAGCCCCCCTATTTCAAAAGGGGAAATGTTTATGAACATGATTTGTATGCATGACTGCTAGTTTTGCAAAGAAAAACTGGGCCACAGACTTTGAGAAGGTGGGGGATCAGCCTGTTCTCCCAGATAACAGCAATAGGATGAGAGGGAATGGCCTCAAGTCATGCTGGGGGTGGCTCAGGTTGGATATTAGGAACAATTTCTTACCAGAAAAAGCAGTGCTGCAGTGACACAGGCTGCCCAGGGAGGTGGTGGAGTCACTGTCCCTGGGGCTGTTCCAGAACCGTGTGGATGTCAGTGGGCATGGCGGGGTTGGGCTGACGGTTGGCCTAGATGATCTTAGTGGTCATTTCCAGTGTTAATGATTCTATGTTCACGATCGCTATAACAGCAGAGATTAAGAAGAGGATTTCAACACTGTAGCAGTCACTGAGTAATGTTTTGGTAATCAAGGGCTCACCTGAGGTTTTGTTACTGAATATAACTTGGGAAGAGCAGAGAGACAGGCCTCAGGCATACTTAAGGATGAAGGGCTGAATGAGTTTTGGCAGGCAGGTATAGAAAAGGAGTTTTTATGCTTTTGTTTTGAAACTTGCAGAAGGGAAAATGCTTTTGCAATAACTGGCAGTGATTGTTGAGGAAACAGGAAAATGACGTATTTCTTTCATTGCTACTGGGAGTACTTTACATGATGGGAATAGCAGTAGCAGGAATTGTATAACCAGACACCAGTGGAAATGCTAAAATCTTTTATGGAAAACATTCTCTTATGTCTCAGTTTTCTTTTCATCCCGAATGACTGCTTGTTTCTGGGGCTCAGCATTACAGTAGATGGTATTATGAATACCTCCAAAGAGCTGAAATGCCCCCTTGTGTCTGAGGGATGGAGGCTTTTGAATTGAAATATGGTGATCACAGTAAAAGCTGAGTGCTGGAGGACAGTCAAACAGTGACAAAGGCTAGCTGCTGCAATCTTTCCATATGGCTGTCTCTGCTCCCTCCTATAAATCAACTGTGTGTTTCGAAGAGTCACCCAAGAAATGGCTTAGTAAGGCAGGTGAACATCTGTGGTGCCTGGTGGTGGTGTCACTTGAATTCTGGCTGCCACCACATGTGCTCTGGCCACAGGGTGCTCACCTCCACGACCTGCTGGCATCCCATCACAGCTTTGACCAGATTTTGCACTAGTTAATGTGGCATGCTGTGTGGCATCACCTTGCAGCTCACTTTCTAGATAAGTAATTCAATACCACTGTTCTTCTGTGTTTTAAAGCTCCTCTTCAAGAAAAGGAACCCTGGATTTGGATGGCCTGGCGTGGGGGTGTGGTTGGTTTAGCTCTTGATGCCAAAGGGGAATCTGTATAGAACAGCTGCTTAAGCAAGTCTGCCTTTATTTTTTACGTGTAATATTGCTGATTCTAATTTTATTGAGAGGAACTTTAATGCTGCTACTATTTTTTAATTATTATTCACAGCCCATAAATGAAAACAAATAAAAATCCCCCAAGGATTTAAACACTATAGGACAGGTACTACTTTAAAAGCCAGCACTTGTCAACAATTACAGTGATACATGAGAAACCCTCACCCATATACTTGGAAACTATGGCAGCTATTTGCAAATCTGATGGTCACTTTAAATCACCAGTGTGCTCAGACTCTAGTTCTGCTATACCCATACAAAAATGGGACTTTTCCCTTTCTCTTTCAGTCATGTGAGACTCGTTTAAGTCACTCTGTAGCCTTTTCTCTCCCCATGCCTTGCTAGAAAAGAAGAAATGAACAACCATGTAACAGCAATAAATGTATTTCCTTCTGCCCCCCATCCTTTTGCAAAAGGAGTCAGTTTCTATAGTCATGGAAATTTCAAGGAGGTTGTCTTATAGTTTCTTTGCGGTATGGTTTGTAAATGAACACACTAGGGTATTACCATAGCAGCTGCTAAATACAAATGCTGTATTCTGCCTGTTTTCAGACTATGCTGTAGCTGGGTCCTGCCACCCACAAGTCACATCTGCTTCAATTCTTCAATTCAGGATGCAGGAGCTGTAGCCACTTCCTGCAGCAGAAAGGAATGGAACTCGATATACATCTCCAAAGGCAGTGGACCAGTGGGTGGATTCATGTTACTGGCAAAATAATCCTCCTTTTCTTTCTCAGATAAAGATTACGCTAAGCACTACCACAGACAGTGCAGAGATGGAGCTGAAAAGCCACAGAAGCTAGAGGCCAGGCAGATAAGGAAATCAGAACCAAAAAGATATGTAAGATGCTCCCAGGGGGAAAAAAAAATAATCCTTATGTAAAGGATTAATCAACCTTTCCCATAACCAGCATTAAAAAGCTGCAATTTTATAATGAAGTTGTGCATAAAGCCCGCTCCACGACAAAGGACAGCGTAAGGCTACAACCTGGTTAAGATGATTTTTGCTTCAACTGCTATCAAAGAACCAAAACTTCTTTTCTCTTTGATCATTCTCTATTGCATAATTTTAAGTACAGTTTTCAAATTAATCTTCAATGTTCAGAGGAGCAACAGGATTAAACATCGGTCTCTCCTTCTTTGATTGTATCTTACCATAATTTGCCTCAAAGTCTTTCTTAGTACCATTCAAGTTTTCTAGATTTCCACTCTTTATATTGTATCCCAAAGCAGAGAGTTTTTTAATCCTGTACTGAACAATTTGTGTTGTCAACTCCAGCACCATTGGTGTCTCTCTAATCTGCGCTATAGAAATTCCTTCCTTCAGCAGTCCCTCAAGTCTTTCTTCCAGAATTGGAACGGAATAGTAGAGAAGGGCTGGGCATTTCAGCACTAGTCGTTTGAATTCTTGATCGCTGCACTTAAAGACGTTTTTGGAGAAAAGCATGCTCTTCTGCATAGTGGAGGGTGTAAGCTGAAAAATAAAACCTTTAAGTTTGGACAGCAGCTGTAGGACTTCGTGGTCGGTGAAATCACTCTTCTGTAGAAATTCTAAGTTTTCCTGAATTGCCGAGGAGGTACTTAACAAAATAAATGGATTTTGGCTCAGTAACTTCAGTATCCAGATCTTCATATTTGCATCAGAACCTCCTAAACTTAAGTAATTTCTCTGTAACGTCTCTATCACGTGTTTGTTTTTCTCAGCTGGATTGTGGAAGATATTGGGTGCGCTCGTCAAGAACCTGGTGATTATATTATTTTTAAGTCCCAGTTCCTGAAAAAACAGAATATTTGCTTTCTGGTTCTCGTGATACCCAGTAGTGAAGAAAGAATCTGGAAACTGCTCTATTAATTTAATCAGCTGGTCTTCCTTCTGGCATACCAGTTGCCACAGAGCTCTTTGAGAGTTCACCTCTGCAGGACTACGCAGCACTGCCTCTGGGCAGCGTTCCAAGATGCTGGCTATAGCAGGCTCATCCGCACCCATTTCTTGTAGAATTCTGGCGATTTCTGGGACGTAAGCCACCTCCTGGAGAAGGACCCATTCCTTTCCTCTGCGTATCTTCTTAATATCAACTGACAGTCTGTGGAGGTCCTCAATGGTTTTTTTGTTTTCCTCTCTAGGCTTTGTATCCGTTGTGTACGTTGAATGGATTAAGAAGCTTCTGTTTGTTACCTCAGGCCGTAAGGGCAAAAAATTCAACGCAGGGCTACTGCAGTGACATCTTGCCAACAGAAATGTAACTGTGTCTTTTGCACTGTGAGCAACTCCTCTCAACATCATGGAATGCAGCTCTACGCAGAGAGGAAAAACAATGCTTTGAAAACACACTGAAGACAAATTATACCTCACAATGTTCTCAGAGCCGTTGATATTTAGACTGAGATGACATAAGAAATTACTCTTAACAGTATTTTTTTGTTATTAGCACAAAAAATCAGCTTTTGTGCAGAAGGGAAAGAAAAGATTTTTGAAAGGTTAATGTTCTGATTGATGCCTCACCAGAACATAACGTGTGGATGCAACCGTGCTGCTATGGGGGCAGCACTCTGTCCATGATATGCTGCAGTCATACGAGAACAAAGCTGTCAGCTATTTCCTGCTAGTGACGGTGTTACAGCTCACTCACTCTGCAGTGGAAAAATGTTACATGCAATTTAATTTGACAGCAATTCTACTAAATGAATAAAAACAAAACAAAACACTAAACTACAGCTTAAAACATACTTCTTAGCTCTTCTGAATGTATTTGCTTAACTGCTTAGGCATTGTTTAGAGCATGACATGTTCCTTCATGTGTCAGAACACTCCCAGGTGCTCCTTCAGTAGCAGTTACAGCCTAACTGCCTTATCAACTCATTCTCCATGCAATTAAGGAAAGAATCATCAAACCCATTTGTGTACCTATGCATTTTTCATTAGCTGAATCTGTTAACTGGGGCTCAGTAATCACCCTGATAGTTGGGAGAGGAAGCAAGCATAGTGCCACATCTTCAGGCCTTTACTTGCCTCTACATTACCCTCTTTCCACCTTCTGCTTTCTGTCCTTGCCTGCCACCTCCAGTGGGCCCAGAGCCATCGTGCAGCCCTTTGGGTAGGTGCACAGCCACTGCACAGCTGGGGATAACCCAGTGGGGCAGCTTTGCTGGTGCTGAGTGCCAGGTATCGTGAACAGCACAGGCAGTGCCCCCTGCTCTGCTAGAGGAGCTGCAGTGGCAGTTGTGCATGCATAAATATCACACAGTGTATCCTTAACTTCCTAGGGGGTGGTTTTGTAACACCCTTTG